ATTAAACCCTGTCGTCTCCAGTTTAATTGATAATTTTATGTGAAGAAGATTTATGGAGATCTTGCAATCGCTTTGTATAGCATTAATTTTGAGGGGCTTTATGGCAATACCACAAAACAGTCAACACCTAACCAGCTTCCGTTGCACTTAGACTTCCTTCGCTTTCCTCATCCGAACTTTAAAGAGTCGGATATATAAGTGTGTATAGAAAAGATCCGACAAAGTCGACTTCAACGGAAGTACATTCACGACTCGCGTTGGTTCGCATAATCAAAGACCCGCAGACAAAGTGTAAAGACCCTTTAGAATTTTATGCTTGAGTCATCATCCATCGACAGCAACTTTGGCGGCTTTGGCTTTGGCTATGTGTTTTGTGTTTATTTTTAATTTTTTTTTCTCTGTTTGGGCTTTGCTCTTCCGTTTTCAAACACAGAACAGCCGCTGCGACGGTCAAAACTATTAACAAATCCAAAGCAACAACCAGTCGTCGGCGTTTCCCTGTGGAAAGTGCGCAATCAATGGCAGCAACTGCAATTGGAATTGCAGTGCCAACAGCAACATTTCCGCTGCTTTTGGCCAAAAAAGGCATTGGACAATTATTATCGAGTGTGAGTGGAAAGGAAAAGCAACAAGTGCATTATGTACTTAAATTGCGCCCACTAATAATAATAACCCACCGGCTGGGTAAGAGGGACAGCACTAGTGGCAACTTCTTCGTTTTTATTTGCCAACACGAAAGGCAAAGACCGGTCAACTTGGAAATTGTCAACACAGCCAGCCACTTGCCACACAACTTTGACTACAACTCCCCAGAGTATTGTCGCAGGGGGTTACGGAGGGGGAGGGGTTGAGAGACATCCAGCTGCGTAGACAGAGCTCAGACATTGCCCAAGCTGCCTCGTCGTTTTGCACTTTTCCAAAAACATCAATAGACCGGCCGAATAGGCGAAGTCTGTCTACGCTTTCCTGAAACGAAAATTACCGGGAAGTGGGAAATGAAAACAGTTGAATAGTACATGCAAATACCTGCCGATTTGTAACTATAAACATGAATTATAGGTTATATGATTGGAGTTTCGTAACAATTCCATATTAATTATTAAATCGTAAAAAAGCTTTAATAAAAAATGACTATATTTATATTTTTATTAAGAGATTCTTTGAAAAATTACAAAAATTATAATAAATAAATATAATGATACAAAATATGAAATACTTATCAAAATGATAACATTAAAATTGATATTAAAATTAAAATTACCATCTTTGCTAAGTACAAAATACTCATGTCTAAAAGAAAACAAAAGCATTTAAAAATGTCAGATTAGTAAAAACACCTGTGTATGAAATGATGTTACACCTTGTAAACCAAACATAATGTTTAGCGTACATTTTATTTTTTTTTCCTTTAACTATTTGCCCAATATTAAAATGCCCAAAAAAAACGTATGATAGGAGACAAGCTATCATACGTATTTACCTGATATAATTGTTATCCATTAGCAGTTAGAAGTTACCAACCATTTGGCATAGTTTTTGTGCCGATTTCAGCTACTCGATTCTCTATCCATAATCTTTTGCAGTTCGGTTGCTTCTTTTTATTTTTGGCATGCGCCGCGTGAAAAACGAAATGAAAAGTTGTTGCTGTTGTGTCGATGTCGATGCTGCGATGTTGCTGTTTCGGTTGCTGTTGCTAGTGTTTCTGCTGTTGTTGGTGTTGCTCTTGCTGTTGCAGTGGTCAGTTAGTTGCCGGCGTATCTTTTGGCCGCCGAAGGCTGCAGACCCAGCGAAATATAGACACACACTGGCAAACACATTTGAAAATGGAAAGTCGTCGTCTGGTTGTCGTTTGCAGTTTTGTTTTGGGGTTTTCTTTTTTTTACTCTTTTTTCGGTTTTCATTTTTTATTTTTTACTTTTTTTCGGCTGGGCTGCAACCGGTTGCATTAGTGCAACAGCAACAGAAACATTAGCACATGCAGCAAATTTTTGAGTATTATTTTTATTAGATTTTGATTTATTGTTTGTGTGGATTGTGGATGGCCGCAGTCTATCCGCTAATTGGAATTGGCCAAGTCGGAAAATGTGGTAACTGCAGCGCAGGAATTCTCGGCGAGAAACGAGAAATCTGCGCTGCGCGTCTCCTTGAGGAGGAAAGCGAAAGTTAGACGCTTTAAATTTGAAATTGAAATTTCTTGTTTCTCGGTTTATGGCCGAGGAAAAGCAAAAGCCGCGACTCGAGGCGATTCGAGCCAAGTGCACGTTTAGTTTGGGCCATAAACTGTGGGCTGCCATTATGAGCTAACTCCGCCGGGGCGGCGGTGAGGTTTATTTTCGCACTCGCCGGGTTATATAAGGTTGCGGTTCGGCAAAACCTTACCGAACATCATTAAAATTGCAAATTTCTTTCCGTCTCTATCTGCCTGTGTGGATAATGGGACCAGAAACTAATAAGCAGGTGCCGAATGGCTACAGAAATATGTATCTGCCGCAACGGCCCGAAGATAACCCATTGTTACAGCCAGATAAACCTTAAAGCAAGTTGTCTATTTTCCTAGGGGGTTCTGCGTGTCAACGCTTTTCAGAATCGAGTTCATAAATAAAACATCAGCTTAAATTAGTGACTGGCCCTGACTGGCGATCGCTTCATATTTGTATGAATACAAAACCATAAATTGGATTGATTTATAATCACATACAATATTTGTATTATAGGTTTCCTAGACAATGGTTTTGAGACAAAACTACCGTTTCATTGCCAATGCGAGCTATTTATAAACGCTATTATATCTTTTTGATAGCCATCTCGGAATCGATTTTGCGGTTAATAAGGGGGTTTTGGGATTAATTATGGTTTGAGAAAGGAGAATAACAAGAATGGCGAAGAAGTCTGCTTGGAATACTTTCTTATCTTACCTTTTATAGCTTTTAACCAATTAACAATTAAATCTTTATAAGTGACCGATTTCATCGGAGGCTCTTCTCTCGAAGACTATCCAAATAAGGAGAGATTTTCAGAGCACTTTCTTCAATCCATCCCACACCAATCTGAATGCGTTACAAATTTCACCCGCTTCAATTTCAATTTCAGGCCATAATCAAATATATTTGGCCAGTGCCCACTCGAAAAACACACGCACCGCAAGTTAGCGAGTTTATCAATTAACATTTGGATTATATTTACGAGCAAAATATTTCACTCTTTCATTGCCGTTAAGTGTTTATAACTTTCACTGTATCGACGCTGTCTCATCTCTCGATAGAAAACATTAATTAAAGCATTAAATGCACATAATTAACGCAGTCGCAGATGCTGGCTCTTCTTTCTCTCGGTTATAAATGGTTATATGTGGTATATTTAGTATGTGTGTCTTTCTCCCCGTTTTTGCCCAACTGTTGCACATTCGTATGTGCAAGATTTTAATGATTTTCCTTTGTTTTGTGTGTTTTTCGTAATGTTTTCGCATGGGAAATGATTGGAGTGCAGTGCAGGAAAACTGGGCAGCCAGGCTGGCTGGCGGGGAAAAGCCGCGTCATTGAGGAAAAGACGTCAAGTGGAGTTAACCTTGAGTTTTCCGGGGTAATAAATTAAACTGTTTTGTGTGTGGGGGCCATTTTCAGTTGCGGTAAGCATAATTTCTTTTCTTCATATGCGGAAGATACAATCGAATGGCAAGGAAGTGGAAAAAACTAAGGCATCTGAGGTAAAGCCGCAGATTGTTAAGAAAGTTATTAAAATTAAGTGCCATTTTTGGCACAAAGACAACAAAACCACTGATTGGTCCACAAAACAATACGAATAAATCGCTCCATGGACAAAAGTCTATTATCTCTGACCGTATCGCAGTTAATTTCATGCCAACATTATGTAAACGAAGCCAAAACTAAGCGAAATGAAAAGAAAATAAAAGACCGAATTTATATCGGAAGCTTCACCCAAATAAACTGAAGTTTTTTACAGTTAAATCAAGATGGGCAAAAACGCAGCATGTGTGTCAAATACGTTTAAAATGTAAAAATCCACAGAAGTGAACAGAAATCCAACGAAATATTTCACAAAAAGTAAAGGAAAAATGCAAAATAAAAGCGAATAAAATTAAAAATTTTTACCTTGCAAACCGGTTGGAGCATAATAATCATATCAGAACCGGTTGGATTTAAGAACTGTTCAAAATGAACTGTAGTCAGACCCAGAATCAAATCGCCACAGGTTTTCATTTCATTTTTTGCCTTGGCTTGTAATATCCCCCCGAACTGTTTGCCAATTAATTTTACAATTTAAGCCAAAATAATTTAATTTAAAGCAGTGTCAAAACGGATCACAGCCTAATTTCAATTTAATTTGATTGGAACTTGATTGAGATCTGCGATCCGCGGGGGAGACAAGCGTGAAGCATGCAAAATTGCCGGCGACTCTGTAATATTTATAATAAACAACTCAACGCTTTTGGCCAAAAAAGATTGCCAAAGTTATTGCCTGTCAGGCCAAGTGACGGCTGCCCAATCTCGGGTTTCTCGTTTCGTTTCGTTTGGTTTTTTCGGCATTTCTCGGTTCCCGCTGATTATTGAAAAGAACTCTTCCGGAACCAAGAGGGGAGTACGAGTAGGGGTATTACCTTTGCAGTAGATAAGCCATCGGGCGAGTGCTAATCACAAGCTGCCTTCAACGGGTCCCCTGGCCATTGATTTATTGCCAGATTTCAAGTTAACACTTTTTTGCCGATCCCAAATTGAGTTATTTATTCCTGGACCGAACGGTCACGTATTCTCCGCGTTGGCAGCACCAACAGGTTGCAAGTTGCACGTTGCACGTTGCAGTTGCACTTGCAGCTTAGATTTATATTCGTAGATTTTGGCAGTCGTGTTAATGAAGTTTGCTGATTTATGTGCTTATGAGGCTGTCGCCAGTGCCTCTGACTCTGCCGCTGCCCACAGGAAGTGCTTTTCGAAAATCGATTTGGAAAATCTAATTGGAGTCTCCCTCTCTCTTTCGTCTTGCAGATTCCCATTCTTCTAACACTGGAGTCATCACTGGAAACCCATTAAGTGGTAAGTGCTAAGGCATAAAAATATTTAACAACTCGGCGTATTTGTCGAACATTTAAGCTGCCAAATAAACGTTGCTGTTTAGTGCTCAGTGATCATTAGTGAATGGTCAATAGATTGGCAACTAAAAGAAGAGAAAAATATCACACATGGTAAATTTCTGGCATATCTTCTTTTTTCTTTTGGAGATTCTATGACTACGAAAAAGAGAGGAAGAAGCAATGTGACAACTTAAATTACGCGAGAAGTACAAACATTTCTAGCGCGTCGAGTCCAAAATTAATACCACATAACGTAAAATCGATCATCGTTTCATATCAAGTTTTTTTTTTGGTGTAGATAAACATTCATGCTCCAGTTATGAGCATTTTTCAGTTTTCAAGATCTTCGATTCGTCTTTATTCTGCTGCGTTTTATACGGATCTGCTTAACTGCACAACCCGTTTCGGGCTTTTGTTAATCAAAACGTCAGAGAAACCTTCACGAATGACAAAAAAATGTCAAACATTTTGTTGCCGCGGAAAAGTGAAAATCTGAGAAAATAAAAATGTTCAAACGCAAAAAGAAAATTACTGAAATTGTGGTTGATTTTCCCTAGCAATTCATGCATGAAAATGGGTGCCAAAGTGAAACTGAAACTGGCTTTGGGTTTCGGTTGAGTAAAGTTGGCGATCATGCCTTTAATGGGTTATAAAATGAGGATTTTAGGGCTGTAAATGGGGACCCAGTTCCAAGGATTTTGCCGTTTTTTTATTTTCGTAAGGAATAAATCATGCACGAATTTGGGCATTTATTTGTTGACCCGAACCGTTTTTGTCTCTTCTTTTCACTTAGTCACTTATCTTTTATGTTTATGTATTTCTTTTTTTTTTTAAGCCAAAAGAAAAGTGATTCACGAGCTTTTGTGGGTCAAGTTTATTGTTTTCTGCTGGATTACTCTTATCCAAAATGCCGTGAATCATTTGTATCTTGGCCAAAAACTGAACTCATTTTCCACAACTATGTTGTGCGGCTCATTAGCGATGTTTAATTAGATATTTATCTCGACTCTGGCCTGCAGCCAAACTTCGCACATTCATCGACTTTATCTTTATTTCGGAGTTCTCTTCGCCTCGCACTTCGGTATCAGTTTCCTTTATTGTGTCAACACAATTCAAATCAAATTGCCAATTGTTGTCTGTTTGTCAGCTTTGCTAATTCCCAAACAAAACAAACTGAATTATTTATCAAAGGCAAAAGAAAAACGAAGTCTTTTGAGCAAACAAAAGGGAGGCAAACTGTGCTTCGAAGTTCATAAATAATTTGTTACAGTTTCTGCGTTTTATTTTTGGGTTCCCCCGCTTTGTTTTGATCTCGAACAGAAATAAGCCTTTTGAATGCATTGAAATTTATAGATTCCCCCTTCGAAAGCTTTCAATTTTCTGGCCAGCAACGATTCTTGATTGAGAGTTATGAAAGGAATGCCCAATTCAGTGGGTTCTATGGTTCTTTCTCTGCCAGTTAAAAGACTTTCCAGTACAATGGCTGGCGATAGAGCGCTAAGAATACTTTCTAAATGCACAAATCACGGCAGTGGGTAAAGAATTCAATGCCATAGAATAAACATTTCGGGCTCGAAAACCCCTAAATAGGCTTTAATTAACAATTTATGTGCAGCGGCAGCAGCAACAACATCAACTTGATGCATCATCCTCCACATTGGCAGGGGTTTTATCTCCATCGGAGTCTGTAATCTGCTGGCTACTGTGCGTTGTCACAGCCAGCAGCTCCTGCAGCCTCTTTTCTGCCCAGTCATCCTTAATTATTATGATTATCGATGTTTTATGCTCTATAATTGCCGTTGGCAGTCCGCAGTTGGCAGTGACTCGGTCTTTTTGGGCGTCTCCCGGCCCAGCCCCCAAAATTGCTGTCTTCTTGGCTTTGCTCCTCTTCATTTGATCCCTCCTCTGGCCCTTGCCTAATTGATATAATTCTCCAGTTTAACTTTGGCTTACTTTGTTGCCTGCCCGACGTTTGCCTCGTCAAGTTCGTGTCCTAAGTCTTTTGTTTTGGCCGTCAACTGCCGCTGGTTCTACATAAATTACGCCAAGTTAATGATTATCTCTCAGTTGGTTAGCCAAGTGTCAGCCAAACACATATATCCGCCGAGAGTGAGCAGCCAAAACGCCGGCAAACTAACAGTCGACATCAGGCGAAGATAAGTTCGCTTTTGACACAGTTGCTGCACAGTGGAGTCATAAAGTTATTGCTTTATATGGGGCTTTTTATTAAAAAATTTAAATTAAAAACAATTACAATTAGCTCAGCATGTCTAATTAACTGAGACTGTAAAATGTAATTATAGTAGCAGTAGACGGCTATATTTATTTATTGTGAGTTATTACCAAATTAGCCAAATTGAAATTGTACTATATTTGTCTTAACTTTCAATACCTATATTACAAGTATTTAAATGATTTTCACTACTTCATTAATTGTAAATAATTAAATTTTTTAACTTGTGTTTTTCGATCAAAGAATATGTAATTTGTTAAATTCTTACTATTTATTAAATGTCTTACTAAATACTTACTTAAAATACTTATCAATAAAAAACTTAAAAAACTTACTTATCTAAAAAAGTAACATTTTAGTAAATTAATACAATTATAATAGTAAATAAATGTTTATCACTACTTTATTAAAGTAAAAATTGAAATTTACGATAGAAGAATATTAAATTTCTTAAATTCCTTCTTCTTTCTATTTATTAAATTTCTTTTTATAAACATTCGTATAAAATACTAAGTAAAGAACCTTCGAAAAATCTCTATATTCTCAACAGTATTTATTTTCTTATAAAGAAACCGCTCAAGTACAAGTACCATTTTAAAACACTTCAAAGTCACTGTGATGAGCCAGTTTGTGGGCTGGCAGCTCTATCCGGACCACATCCATCCACAACTGCCCGGAATGTCCAGGGCGGGCGTGCATTAAAATTTATTATATAAGCCAACAGAGAGTCGCCTTTGCAGTCGCAGCTTCAGCTTCATCTCATCTGCCGCTTTTGCCGTCGCAGCCGTTGCTGCAATCTTTTAAAAATCTCGCGTACTCATCAACAACATTTCAAAGTGTACGTACATCAAAGTGGACTAGCTCCTGACTTCCCTGCCTAACAGTTGTACATGGAAGGTGTATCGCATAAAATCACAAAAAGCTATCTAAACAGGAAACCCAACAGCAACAACGGCAACGGCAGTAAGCAACATCAACCGCAGCAGCAGCAACAACAACAATGTCGTTGGCGGCGTCGAGTAAATTAAAACAAAACGTTGTCGTCGTCTCCTCCTCCTAAAAAGAGTTCCTCGGGCCTTGCCACTGATCCTGCCCCCTATACCTGTTGTTTAGAGTAGATGTTCTACTCCTTTGGCCCCGTCCTCGGCTACTGAATTGCTCCTCCCGGCTGTCTGACTATGTCTGCTACTGTCTGCTGTTTTGTTGCCTTAACACTTTGCACAAATATTATTATGTATTATGCTTTTTCGCCATGTTTCTGCTGTTTCTACTGCTTCTTCTACTGCCTCTGCTGCGGGGTGGCAGCCACAACTTTGATGGATTGCACGTCTGTCGTGAAGAACTCAACTTCTACTTCGAAAACTCTGCTCAGTGAAATGGCAGCCACTTTTTTTCACGTTAGCCGGGCGTGAGCAGTAGCAACATGAAAGCAACATCAAGAGCAACAGAATTTGAAGGTCAGAGATTTGAGTTGGTTTTTTTGGGAAAGTCTCGTCGGAGCCGAAAACGTCGTTTATTAGCATCAAATTTTGGACGCTCAGATGTGGGACGGAAAAAAGAGATACTCGAATGTCTGGGCGCACTTTATGTAAGAGATTTATCTAGCAGCTGCATTGAGCGAAGTCAGGGATTCCATTTTAAGTATAGAATATCGAAGACTCTATGATTTATATGACAATTTATTAGAAAAGACTTATGAAATACTTCTTCTTTTAATTTTAAAATATTGAGTATAAAGTGCGTTTGGATGCATTTTTTTTTACTACGCCTCTGACTTTTGTTCCCCCACTCAAGTGCAATGGGTAAGAAAACAAATATTATTGTGGCACGCAATGCCCCCTCTCTCCAACGCCTCTGCCTTTTGGATAGGGCGCGCCTGAACCATAAGCCCAAAAATGAAGAAAAAAATGACTAAAGATGGAGCCAGTGATGAATTCGACATTGGAGTGCCAATCAAGGGAAAAACTGGGCTCATAAATCGACACGAAAATATGTAGTGAAAAAATCAGGCATGATTTCTCGATTTACAGCGGGGATGAGGAGGAGCAATAGCTTTTGAGCCCTCGATTGATTAGTCACGCCTTTTAGAATTTAGAATTCCAGCCGCCGCAGCTGCAGCTGCACATCCCATTCCCCATCCCCAAGTGCTTAGCATCGTGGTGTAAAAGAGCTGAGCAAACAGAATTCAAATCGGAATCCAAAGCGGCAATTAAGCGGCCAAACGAGTCTAACAATGGAAACTGCGGCCATAAAACCAGCATGTGTGCCTATACTTGCACTTGTATGCAAACTGCGAAACGGCCAAGGAATCTGAATCTGAGCCACAAAAGCAACAGGTGCGCAGCTGGGGATCAGCAGCCGCATGTGAGAGAGCAACAAGTTTACCATAATCACAATAATTTTCAACTCAACTGGACACAAGTGGCACAAACGGAAACAACGAGACCAAACCTCACTATGTGCCGGAGAATGTGCCATAAAGAAGGAGAAGGGAGGGGGTGCGGGTATGGATCGAACCCTCAAATTGTTGATGGACTGAGCTCAACTGAACTGAAGAACTGAAGAGCCGAGCTGAGAGAGAACAACGATTGTGCAGGCAAATCCAAGGTGATTGCTGCCACTAATGATGGTTTAGCATCCATAAGATGCTTCAAGCCCGAGAACTTTTTCCCCATTTTCATTTTCCCTGGCCTTACTTTCTCCTCTGATCGTTCTTTCGTGTCGAGAGA